GAAAATATATTAAAGTTTTATATAATATATAACCAATATTTTTGGGACAACTTTTCCATTAATTTTTAGAACATAACACAATGCAACCATTTTCCTAAAAGTCCGCCATCTTGGATTCCAATAGAAACTCAACACCGGACTCCCCTTGACGTTTCTACAGTGGTACCTCGCAGCTGGGTCTTTGTTTACATAACATCAGCTGATAGTGACTCTACTCCTACTCTACCGTGATTACTGTATACGAGTATACTGAGGTTCAGTACGTCCTTATTGTCAATGCTCTCTATTATTCTCGAAAATGCAAATGGTGTTTTATGTTGCGCAAAGTGAATTCTGGAAAATATTTGTTATGGATTCGGGACAACATGATATGTGTTCAATTTTAATTATATAAACATTAGTTTAGTTAGTTAGTTAGTTAAGTTAAAATATCACAAACCCGAAAAAATATTTTTATATATTTTAGAAATTAGTGTTTTTGTTATAGTGTGGGCGTTACAAATTAATTTTTTTTACTAAACTACAGAGTTTTTACTTTTCATATAAACTTCAACTTTTCCCCGCTTAAAGAAAAGCGCGATTAATTAGGTTGCTCACTTGCATTAAATAAGTACTGGTTTTGGTGTGAAAATAAGACATTGGGCGTGGCACCGCCAACTTTTAGGTGAAATCCCATATCTCGATCTATAATCGCTCCTACTACCCATATAACACAGTTAAAAATTCCATTTGATGGTTTCACTTTACAGTACACAAAAAAAATGTAATAATAACAATAAAATTTTGCGTTAATATTTCCCTTAAAGTATGCATCCTTTTGACCAACTAAAACTGTTAAAGCCCCTATGTACCGAATATGTGGAGCGCGGTACTTATAGTTGACTTTTCACCGAAAATATCGTTCAATGTGTGAGATATGAGATTGAAATTCACACAGAATCCTTTTCTGACAATATTATTCCTTTGTATGAAAAAATGGGTTGAATCGAGTTAATACTTCCCTGACCTCACATATACAAAATATAAAGATTTTCGAACTTCGAGGTCACTTTATGCCGGATATATCCGCCAATATTTGAGTCATCTCAATGAAAATTTCAGGACATGTTTTACTTATAACAGTGTATCTTTGCGGCTAAAATAGATACAATTGGGCGAAGTCTGTTCGATACTACACCGTCAATATAAAATACTCGGTTGCATCCGAATTTAACACTTTCTTACTCGTTTTATTTGAATATATTGCATTATTATATTCAATCATTCATAAAATCACTTAGAATAATTTTGTCCAGTTTTTGAAACCAAATGCTCCTATGTACGACATTAGCTGTTGCAACATGCAATTATCTTGCAAATGGCGTTTTGAAGCCAGCTTCTTGAAAATTTAACTACAGCAGCAACATATCAAACAGCTGATGCAATAAATGTCGTTGTTGTCCTACTAAATATATTTGAATAATCTTACATTTCACATATCAGTGGCAGCAAAATTAAAAAGAATTTTTAATTTGGCGACATACATGTAAGAGCTGTGTCTTTATATGGCAGCAATTACTTTCTGCTAGCAAAAATCTAACTTGCAGCTTGTTCAACTTTTTACGCTCCCAACTTGTGCTCTCTTCTGCTATAGATGTGACGTTGTTGTTGGTGTTGATGCTGGTTTCTATATAAACGAAATGATCTACGGCGTTATAACTGTCAGCAGTGACGTGAGAGCCACCGAAAGCATGGATAATATGATACGAGTCTTTAGCATTGGCTCTCTTTATCTCTCAAACGCGTTCCCTGATTATTTGACAGCGATGGAGATCAAGGAATTTCTGACATTTCATGTCAGATTTCATGTCAGAAATGGCGGATGCCCCTATAATTACCTGACGAAATTAGTAGGAAATGAAATTTCATTAAATTAGTTAATGATTTTGTTTTTTAGTGTTTATATATGCATGCATTTTCAAAGTGTTTCGAATAATTAATTAAATACCTATTCTAATATTTTTCAACAGTGGCATCATTGATAAATGTTATAAAAAATGCGAGCTTTGACAGCTCTCTCTCGAATCAAAGAGTCTCGCATCATATTATCCATGCCGAAAGTTGTAGAGATAGTTATATAACGAAATATCGTTAAACATAAGCAATCAGTTTTTTTCCTTGATATTATTGCTAGAAATGCAGTTTTTTGAATAACATATATTGCTTGTCAAGATCCCTCGTAAATATTTTTCAACACGGTTTTAGCTACTTTTCACAGGTTTGGTAAACCCTTTTTTTATATTTTTGGATGACTAAATTAGTCATTTGTATTGCAGTTTTTTTTATAATGACTAGTTATTGTGTGAAATATACAGTGAGTTTTTATATATTTAAGTTTTATAGCAATAAAAAGGATTATCAATAGCGCGTATTAAGAAAATATATATGTACGACCTACGCTATGGAAATATATTCCCGTATTAAACTTTAAATTTTGTGAATCATTCAAGAGAAATAATTGTCTGGTGAGACAATATTAAATAATAGCATGTTTAGTATCAGTGAACTTTGCTGTATGTTCTGTTGTCCGCCTTGTCCCGGACCAATTGCAGCTAAGCTTGCTTTTCAACCACCCGAGCCTACTTATAAGTTGACGCCCGCTGATGATGCCAACGTTAAGTATAATTTACATTTATTTGATCGTGCAGAGTGGCAGTACTCTGAACGTGATAAGTCCAAAGTGGAATCATTTTTCACGCGGACTTCTCGAGGGAATTTAATTACATGTATATATGTACGTTGTAGCAGAAACGCAAAATATACGCTACTTTTTTCTCATGGAAATGCCGTTGACTTGGGTCAAATGAGTAGCTTTTATATATCTCTTGGAACACAACTAAACTGTAATATATTTGGCTACGATTACTCTGGATACGGAATGAGTGGTGGTAAACCATCAGAAAAAAATTTATATGCTGATATTGAAGCCGCTTGGCAGGCACTTAGAAACAGGTGAGTACTATATGTATACACATATATAATTTTTGCATATATCTTCATTACATTTTAGGTTTAAGAAAACAAAATACTAGCTAAGTACGTACATATGTCTATTGACTCATAAATATTTCGAATAATGGCATAGGGTAAATTTTAGAATAGTATACCCCGATTTCGGGCTTAAAAAGGGTATGTATGGATAGAGAAGGTCCTCCAGATCAGGAATATATAGCTGACTTATGGGTTTTAAGATATTTGCATTTCTACAAAAGAAAATAAGCAAAAACTTTATACCCCAAATACTTAAATGGAAAAAGCCAAACACCTTTTGCAATTTTTTATAAAGAAAAAGTTACAGAAAGGAGTTCTACGCGACAGAACTTTGAACACCCCGGTGTTGGATCGGCCAGGGTAATATTTTTTGAAGCGCGGCCGAAGGCCGCCAGTGCAGAAGAGAGTTCTACGCGAAAGAACTCTGAATATTATAAAGAGCTGCAATACCGTGAAGGGTATAACCCCCTTTTTAACGCTTTATTTTCTTTAACGGGAATAATTCTAGGAACAATTGTACAGTTAGTTTTTCAACTAAGTACTGTTTCTTTTTTTGCTTCGCTTTTAGTTTTAAATTTGGCGAAGCAATTAGCAATTGTGGTTAGTGATTTTTAAATATTTTCATTTATTCAAATTGGTTTTTTTATTAAAAAGAAAAAAATTATAACAAATTGTTTTCTTTCGTTGACAACTAGGCAGAAATGGCAATACCATTTATTTGCTAGTATGCAACCCTATTCTTGTTGTGCAATTGCAGTGAATTTAACTAAAAAAAAATTATCGAAATAAAGCTTTATTTGAAATAAATTTTAAAAAAATTGGTGTACAAAAACGTTATAGTGAAGTGTTAGTAAGTGAAAAGTGCATAATATAAGTGAAAAAGTTATTCACAATAAACCAATTATCAATTTAAAAGTTGTACATTTTTTAACTTTAAACGCAAATATCTTTAAAACTATAAGCCAGCGGCAACTAAATATATATATTTTCGTGATCTGCAGAACGTCACCTTTCCAGTGACACACATTTTATTCTCGAAATCTAATTGTTGTTCAATTATTTTATGTTCTTACCCCACGTTCATATTTTACAGAAGAACAGAAAGAAATAAAGTAAACAAAGGGGAAACTTTAGTATACATACTATCTCACGATTTCAGAGTTAAAAGTGGTGGTTAAATAGTAAAATAGGGCTGATGCTCCAGATTAAGAAAATTAATAGTTATTGCTGCCGCCAAGCTGCTCCTAGGGGGGTACACCCTCTCTAGGTTCAAAGAACTAATTAACCTTAATTAAAAAGTATATAGGGTTATAGGTACCGCAACCGCCTAGTTTAGGAGATATTCGACCTTAAAGTTCAAAAATTCGCAAAATTCGTGCATTTCAAGACGTTATTTCACCACATTAAACACACTTTATTCACATTTTTCACTTCAAATTAATTAAATTACACTATAAACTTGTAAATAACTTCATATCTTACACTTTAACAGGTTTTTACCTAAAAAATCTGCATTTTAAAAATTACATTTTACACTCGTTTTAACCACATTTGTTTACCAAAAATTGCTTAATTTATTAAGCAAATAAGTAATATTATATAATAAGTAATATTATATAATAATATTACGTAATAAAGTGTAAAGTATATTAGTACAGTACGAAAATTCAAATTTTCGTTCAATATGAGTGCATGGTAACCAACAAATATAACCACTTTAACCACTTTATAACAAAAACTCAATATATTTATTTATTTTTAACGCAGAAAGGAGTACTATGCGAAAGTACTTCAGTCCC